TCCAGACTGAAATAATTGTATTCTATCATTGTAATAATCTGCCACATATAAATCAAAATTAGTATTAACATAGATTCCACAAGGAAGATTGAGCGTAGACGAGGTATTTCCAAGAGTTCCTGTACCAGCCGTAATTGTTAGTATGCTAGAATTATCATGCAACCATCTTTTGACAACCTGATGAAGAGAAGCAATTGAACAATATAGAGTATCAGTGGTATCAACAAAGAGATCAAAGCACGATACGCTAACATCCATGACAGGAACACTGGTGTTTTCGTTCAATATCCATTTATCTACTCGATGGTTGAATGCGCCATTGTCAATATAAATATCACCATTATGTGTAACGAAAATAGAATTAGGTTCCGACAAATTACCTTGAATCGTTTGTGTTGGACCGATACTATTATTAAACCATATCTGTATTAAACTATTTGAATAACCAGCAACATAGATCGTGTTATTGGTATTGACAAAAATGCCCCATGGATTTGCGCCAACTGTACTGCTATTTGCAAAAGTACTTGCATTTGGATTCCAGGATGCATTTTGACAAAATTTCGGTTGGTTGTATGAAGGATCTAAAATAAAGTAGATTAATTAGCACATGCAATTCTTCGACTTTTGTTAGTCAACTAATTTTAAAATGATTTTATTCGTACTTAATAAAAAGAATGTGTCTCTAACCAATTATAAAATGAGGAATGCAAATTCATATTTAACAAAACATAATTTCATAGAAAATATTTTGTCATTAAATTATTTTTTCTGACTACAATATGTATTGTTAATCTAATTTCAACCTATTTATCTTTTTTATTACGTACCATGAGTATTGTTTAATAAAATAAATTTTTGAATCCTATTATTTCCATAATCACTGACAAACATGTTGCCATAACTATCAAAGCTAAGAGTAAAAGGATATAATAATTGATTGGATGCCGAACCACTTGAACCAGAACATCCAACTAAACAACGAAAACCATTTGGTCCTGATCCAACAATACGATTATTGTTATAATCCACAATATAGAGATAATTATCAGCATCGAGAACAATTCCAGTTGGTCCATTGAGTGTAATTGTGGTATCTAGCGATCCTGCTCCCGCTATTGTGATGCTATTTAATTGTTCTGATTGAAATAATTGTATTCTATTATTGTGATAATCTGCTACATATAAATCAAAATTGGTATCAACATAGATTCCGCACGGACCGCTGAGCATATTTGAAGTGGATCCAGAACAACCTGTACCCGCAACAATTGTTGTTTTGTTTGACATACTATGCAATGATTGTGCAATAACCTGATGAAGATCATACATAGAACAGTAAAGAGTATCATTGATATCAACGAAAAGACCATAGCATGATGAGCTAACATACATGACTGGATCACCAATAATTGCATTCGATACCCATTTATCAACTTGACCATTCGCTTGTCCATTGTCAATATAAATATCACCATTCGTTGTAACAAAAATAGAACTAGGTGTGAAAAAATTTCCTTGAATTGTTTGTGTCGGACTGGTACTATTATTGAACCATATCTGAATTTCATTACTTCCTCGATCAACAACATAGATTGTGTTATTGGTATCAATAAAAATGCCTATAGGAAGTACGCCAACTGTACTGTTATTGGCGAAAATAATTCCATTTGGATTCCATGAAGGGAATGCGTTGAATTTTGGTCGATTGTATGAAACATCTAAACATAGAAAAAAAATTCTATGGTCTAAGTATTTGGTATTCAATTAAAGTGGAAATAAGGTAAATTGAACAATATTTACTTTTAGTTGATGGTAATATTATATTACTTGATTGCGTAGTTATTGTTGACAAGATATTGGATTGACTTGTATTTAATGATGTATTTACTAAAATTTTAAATTTTATTAGAATAAAAAAAAAGCATATTCTCTTACTATTCATTAGAGTCGATGTTATAGTTTCACCTAAAAATAAATTATATTACAAAATGAAATTCTTTTTCTAATCAGTTAAATATTCATATTTGTCTATCATTTTGAGATCTGTTCGATTTTATAAAGACAAATATTTATATTAAGCTATACATTTATACCTAAGACAGATTTTTATTTTGATAAACTTACTACACAAATTTGTTAATATAGCAAATTTTTGAATTCGATTATTGCTATAATCTGTAACAAACATGTTTCCATAACTATCAAAGCTAAGAGTAAAAGGATTTGATAACTGATTGGATGCTGAACCACCTGAACCAGAGCAACCAACTAAACAACGAAAACCATTTGGTCCTGATCCAAGAATACGATGATTGTTAAACTCCACAATATAGAGATAATTATCAGCATCAAGAACAATTCCAGTTGGTCCATTAAGTGTAATTGTAGGATTTAATGATCCTGCTCCGGCTACTGTGATTCCATTTAATTGTCCAGACTGAAATAATTGTATTCTATTATTGTTATAATCTGCCACATATAAATCAAAATTGGTATTAACATATATTCCATAAGGACTATTTAGCATAGACGAGGTATTCCCAGCAGTTCCTGTACCTGCAACAATTGTTAATGCATTTGAAACAACACCTAATGATTTTGTAACAATTTGTTGAAAATTATACATGGAACAATAAAGATTATTGTTCATATCGATAAAAATATCATAGCATTTTGTACATGTATACATTATTGGAATACCAGTTGTTGAATTTAATGTCCATTTATCAATTCGACCGGTTGGATTATCACTATCAACATAAATTTCACCTGCTGTTGTAACGAAGAGACCAAACGGATTTGATAGATTACCAGAAACATTTTTGATTGGTATAGTGTTTCCTTCAGACCAGACAAGAACGCTATTAGCTGCTTGACTAGTAACATAGATCGTATTGTTTGTATTGATAAAAATATCGCGAGGTTGCGAACCCATCATACTCATATCCGCGAAAGTCGTAGCATTTGGATACCATGATGCATTTGAACAAAATTGCGGCCGATTATAAGAAAGAGCTAAATAATAAAGATATGAACAAAATTATTTTTTCGTAATCTGATACAAAATTATCTAACTACGATAATAGTCATAATCTTCATTTTAACTTTTCATCACTCGAAACTATCTTTTAAATATTCTTTTAATTTTCATTGCTTTAGTGACACATATAATAATCGATGATTTTAGTGAAAGAGAAAGATGTGAATAGTTCAATCAGTGAATTTCGCATTTAGCTGTTATGTGTATAAGTTCGTAACAATAGTCACTCAATAAACAAACAGATGAAGCAGAAGGCTCCAGTAATTTACAATTATTAATTAATTGAAACTTTTAGAGAATGATTTTAAATTAAGAAAAAGAACATTAGGTTTCATTGTATTATCTTGGATCAACCAATATTGAGAAATAACTTCAGTAAAGTTTAATAAAAACTATGTATTTATTTACCCGATACTTGTCCAATGATGACTATAATGAGCCAAATACTCATCTACGCGATAGATAACCTTGTGAACAAATGAAATACTTTTGTATGAATATACTTGTTGAAGAAAGATGAAAATAAGAATAATGATTTTATTTTCTATATATTTCTCTTTTTTTTATATTAACTTAATGCAAATATTATTTTCTTGAACATAAATTAATTATAAAAAAGAACAAAACAAATTCATTAAATATTCTTTGAATCAATTTGTCAATTCATCGATTAAAAACTTTGACTAATGTCTATATATATATATCAGTTTTCTGCAATACAATTAATGTTCATTGTTAGTTTTTTCATTTCAATTAGAACATTGAATGAATATATTCGTTGAAATTCAAATTTTATATTTTTATACTTTGAATTTGATAAAGTATCATAGAAATGAAATATTTTTTGAAACAATAAAAATCTTATATATGGTTTATTCATTATTTTAGTCGTTAGAATAATATTCTATACGATAACAACTTTTCTCGATTCTCGTTTGTTTTTACACAAAAATTATAATTCATTCTTATTAACTATTTTACTTGAAAAAAATACAGTCACTTTTTGAGAAACATAATATAATCTCGAATTAAAAATAAGATAATGGTTTATGATACAATTGGTTAAGTAGATATATTGGAAGTGCTATCATACGAACACTCATTAACATATAAAAAAATAGATACACAGGTTGAACAATACGGTTCGTATACTGATGCATTAAGCGATATATGGCACCGTATTAATGTGTCTAAGATTATGGGATAATATGGTTCATTTACAACCGTAAAAACTAGCCACTTTTTCACCAATGAGTACTCAAAAACGATCTTTACATGATATGCGTTTTCATTGACTTTGGTATAACTAAAACAATTTCTAAAACACTAATATTTGATATTGTTTCCGTTGTGATCGGAAGTAGAATAAGCAAAAGACCGAGAGAAAATAGTTTCGGACAATATGATAATAGAATCAATAGATCGTCTAAACTATTTGTAACAACATCAATGTACTTTTTTGTCATTTCATTGTTTACTAAGTCTTATTTTCTCATTTGTCTTTTACCGTTATTTTATTTGTATTTGTTTTCGTTATTCTTTTGATAATTATACAAGACGCCATCTGAAAATAATTTTAACGGTAGAAAAAAATATAAAGTCAGGTCAATCAGTTAATCTGTTATTATATAGTCGTTTTTTTACAATAAAGCGAAGTATTTGTGATTGTTCGTATTATTATCACTGTTTATATCGATAAAAAATACACTTTAGACAAGGTTTGTTACTTCGGAAAATAATGTTAATAGTTATCTCAATATACAAATAAGTGTTTAATCATAAAATTAAGTTGATTCTACTTGATTACATTAATGTTCTAGTAGGGTGTGGGCATGGGAAAGAGAAGAACAAAGCACCCACATCCACGCCCACCCTATATATCATATTACGGCTACTAGTATTAATTAGGCCTTATTGTAAAATTCATCTAACTTTATTACAGTTTTATACTTTAAACAATTGAATCACAAATATTTTTATTTGAATGAAATATCATTTCATTTTACTTGATCACAGATTTTTATTTTCATACATTATATCAAACATCGCATAAATTCAAAGTAATTTGAATAGGAGATTATTTGATTTTTGAAGATGGAATTGTTTTAATGAGTGTTATTGAATTACAATAAAAGAAAATCAGTGGTTTATCAGTTTTATGTACGTTTAAATTATTATGTGTACTTAATCTTGTACGATTTATGCCAACATTAAGACAACGCGATTAGTCGCAAAAAAATTTAAAAATTTTTTTTTAATGACAAACTCTTTAAGAAACGTAAAATATTATCAAAGAAAGAGAAGTATTAAACAGAGAAGTAGTAATGAGTAGAACATGTTGAATACGATCAATCGAAAATGTAAATGTCTACTTGTAACAAAAGGTTTTTTTTCATATCAATCTCATTTGTTCACTTATGTACATTGATGTTGTAATTGGATTTTATAGGATTCGAACTTTGATTCGATTGATTCTAGTTTTAATAGCTCGACACTTATGATAAATCTTTTTTTTAAGCACATGTGAACCAACATGAAGAGTATATCTTGGTTTGATCTCATAGTGAGAATCATAGCTGTAGAAATCTATGTTATTAAACCTGTATTTTTTTACAAGCAGAATCGTTCAATTAAATCTTCCAAAATATATCACAAAATTTCTATAGTACTCTTATAATTTCAAACACCAAGATACGTTTCTAAGGAAAACAATGCTGAAAACTCACCTTTTCTTCTTATAAGACTTCAAAAAAAATTATTTTTATATTTATTTGTTTAAAATTTTCGAAATGTTGTACTAACGATTAGATCGATTTGTAATAAATTTAAATTTTTCTTGTAATATTTTGCAATAGGCTCAAAAATTAACGTAATCACCGTGTTTAAAGAAAGATAGTTAATTCAACTGAGCTCTTTAAAGTCTTTTCTCAAAAATCGATATCTGTTCAAGTATGTTCAAATAACACGACAGTTTGTGAATATATTTAGCCCACCTTAAGAAATTATGGTAAAATTATCGTAACGTTTTGGCAGACATGCTCACAGAAAAAAATAGTTGATTTATATGTATATAACAAGCGATAATTCCCTATCGAGACTTATTCTATGTATTTAATTTTTATTTGCTAGAATGAATATGTCAGGATGCAATACATAGTAGAGCACTTTCTTCTTTGAGTTGCGTGAAACGGTTATACATTCAACAACGTGGAAAACGTGCTAAAAGTAAGCGTCTGATTATATAGGCTTCTGTGTATATACTTATACGAAAAGCTTAATTGAAAGAAGAACTTTGATAAACATTACATCTTGACATGCTTTTTTGAGCAAAAACAATTTAAATACTTCAAGTCCGTATAGAGAAATTTAAAATGTCCTATGGAAAAAGTGTAAATTGAAAAAGCAAAACCTGTTCAATTCGATTCTATGTAAGCTATTGTTTTTTATTGTTTTCTATTATTTTTTATTTTTAGAGTGTTTTGTTTCACGAGTACTATTTATGCTAATATTTTTTCTTTTCTTATTACAGGGAGTACTCTCGCGGAAAATTACAAACGTACATATATCTGAGAAAGTCATTTATACACATATCTGTGTATGTGTATTACCTTATCAATCTACTTTGTCCATTACATTTTAATTATTTACAGAGCTGTTCTCCGTGTGCGCGCTTGAGTCATTACAAAATGGAATTAATTTAAGAATAAATGAACAAAAGCTTTTTTTATTTATCAATTATTCTTTACAATATCTTTTTTGAGAATTTCAATACTGATCTTCACAATTGTTATAAGAGGTTTAGTTGAAGGTTCACGTTGCCATATGTCTAGAGCACGTTCAAAATATGAAAGTGCTTTCGAATAGTCTTTCATATTGTAATATACACTACCAATGTTGATGTATGAAGTAGCCAAATCTGAATCTTTTGAGGGAAGAGTTTGTCGAATTTCAAGTGCTTTTTCGTGAGATGAAAGTGCTTTCGAGTACTCTCCCATGTGTTTATATACCGAACTGATGTTGCTGTATGAAGTAGCCAAAGTAGGATGATTCGGAGGGAGTATTTGTTGTCGAATTTCGAGTGCTCTTACGTAGAATGAAAGTGCTTTCGAGTACTCTCCCATGTTGTTAAACGCACCACCGATGTTGCTGTATGAAGTAGCCAAGTCAGGATGATTTGAAGGAAGAGTTTTTTCTCGAATTTCTAACGCTTTTTCGTAA